CCTTCATTTTGTCTTCACCTGCCAGAACAATTTGTGGTCCTTCCTCACACGTTGCTTCATGCTGCAAAATAAAGTATAAATATTAATTGATGTATAAAAAATGTCTGAGCAAATTTAAGACTAAGGGTGTTTCTCAAATCTTTTACATGCTCATTCCTATGTCCTTGGAAGTCAGTCTGGTCAAGCAAGGATGTTCCAAGTCTCTTATACAGTCATAGACAAAAATATTGGTACCCCTGCAGTTCTGTCAGATAACACGCCACTTCTCCCAGAAAATGGTTGCAATCACAAATTCAGTGGTATGTTCATGTTTATTTCTATTATTTTCATTGGAACAACACAAAAAGCAGAGAAAAAAGTCAAATCTGATCCATTCCACACAGTAGCTGCTTCTCTTTCTTGTGCCACCCTGTATGACCAGACAGCACTGTGGCCGAAGGAAATTACAGAGGCATTGGCATTTTATATTACGTACAGTAACACAAGCTTCTATGAGTATAGGCGTAGCCCTCTAAGAGCTGTCACTATTGGGTTTATCCCTCACCCATGCACAGTCCTGAAGAGATTCTTTCGAACCCTGTGCTCTGCACTGGGCTGTCCCCACTCAGGTCTGCTGTGGTGGCATAAATGCCACTGTGACCTGTGATCGGCTCCCTACACCAGCACTTTTTCTTCAGCCTGCGGGGGTGGAGACAGCAGGGCTGCCAGCTTAGAGAAGGCAGAGTGGCCATTCTGTTTAACAGGGGAGGAGAGGTGCAGGGAAGAGCAAACAGCGAGTGTGTGCATGACAATGTACAGATAATAGTTAAAAGTATATAAGTGCTAGTAGTGCACAGAAATAATCAGATGCTCGTATTACGCGGCTGTTGTCTCTCAATAGTAATAGTGATATTACAAACAGAGAGCAGTAAGCATAACGGTGCCGGTAGTGAGCCACAATCAGGCAGGTAGGACCGGCAAAAGAGAACATGTGTACCATGGCGGATGCACAGAGTGTGTATGTGTGTGTGGTAAGGGGACACACCACAACAGCTTGTGTTGAGAGTACATGGCTGACAAACAAATCACCCGAGCGAATGACACACATGCAGAATCAGCACTTGGTGGCGGTTGTATGCTCTCGTTCCACAATGGGGGAAGTCTCGCAGTTGCGTAGAGCACTCAGGACTGAGTGAGCCAGTGAAAACTTGGATGCATCCCGAAGGTAGAACTCGGTCAAAGGACACAGAGAGGTCCATGAGGCTGCCATGCAGATGTCCTCCAGGCCATGCCTTTAAAGAGGTCAGTGGAGGATGCAACAGCCCTTGTGGAATGGGCTCTGTCAAGTGGGGGATCAGTCCCAGCTGACATGTAAGCCTGCGTGATAGCCCCACACAAACAGTGAGACAGCCATTGTTTGGTTAAAGGCTGCCGAGAGAGTGCTTCCTCTAATGAACAAACAGCTGTTGTGTTTGTCTGACAGCTGCAGTGCGAGCTACATAAGGGTACAGTGCCGCGCACCGGGCAGAGAACATTCAAGTTCTTTATCTGACTCATCTCTGTGAGGCGGAGGAAAAAACCCATCCAGGGAAATGACTCTGGATCAAAAAGAGGATGTTATTATTATCAAAGCATAGGCAGGATTTGGTCTCAGAACGGCTGAGCTGCCGTCTTCACGTATGAGAAGACACGCTGGTGAGACAGACAGTGCGTCCAGATCACCCACTTGCTTAGCTGAAGTTAGGGCTAAGAGATGCGCTGTTTTCAGAGAGAGATTTGTGTTATGGGCTCAAAGGGAGGTTCCCTGAGCGCGCGTAAAACCAGAGGTACATTCCACTGTGGTGCCACAGGCCGTTGTCTGCCCACACCCCTTAGAAAATGTTTCACCAGCGGGTGTGCGAAAACAGTTCTCTCTCCAAAACCTTCATGGCATGACAAGATGGCAGCGGAATAAGCTTTCACAGTAGACAGAGCCAAATTTCTGTCTAACAGAGTCTGTAGAAAAGTTAGCACTTGGTCATTTCTTTTGTCCCCCAGAACTTGAAGCGCACCATTGTCACCGCAGAAGCAGTGCCATGGCTGTCCCAATTTCCTTCACTGCCTCTGCAGGGAGAACCCCGGACTGTGCAGTGAGGGAGGAAAAAAGGATGCGGACAGTCACATTGCTAATTGCTGTACCTGCCCGGTAATTGATGAATGCGGTCCAAGAGGCGAGCAGTGACCTGGTCCTGTGAAAGTGGATGAATGGGCCACCTCCTGCCAAAGAACACTGCCTTGGGAAGCAAGATAGAGGAGATGCTTTCTGCTTGCTCCACTGCTCTGTCTGTGGTAGACACCCATCATCCCATCATGTCCGAATGAGGGAAGCGGGGGAAGCCAGTGGGAGAGGTTTTAATGCCCTCATGGTCTGCCGCCTTTCTGATGACACATATAAACCAAGTCTCTAGATCTGCCTTCTT